ATAAACTGAGTTCGAATTTTAGTTCGATAAACAATTTTAATAGTTCAGTTCGATTTGGGTTCGCAATACTTCGACAATGTTCGGTTCGAGACCAAACAATTTTGTTTGACCCATCACTAATCTAGTTATCTTTTGGCGAAATGTTCATAAAGTTTTTGTGCTCTGACAAAAGGGCTGTAAAATTACATCAGATTTGAACGTGTTAATAAATAATCATAATAAAATACGTACATGAAAATTAAATAATGATTTAATTATACTGAATAAGTTCTAAGTGACCAGTTTCCATTTGATCTAGTTAAAGCTAAACAAAACATACATTTTGGTAATAATTTGGTACGTACATAACATTATGGTGCACTATCAAAATATTATTTAACTAAAATAATACAGTAATTGTTAGAAACATTGCATGTTATTAATTACCAACTAGTTTGTAAAACGTTGTAGTGCACCTTAAAAAATAAAAATAGTAAAACATTCAATAAAAAATAAACAAAAATACCTATATTTTTTTGAAAATAATTTTACTAATAGATAAACGAATCGCATTTTTAAACTTTTTTTTATCAATACGCACTACGAATCAACCTTTCTAAATAGTTTTGGTAACATAAAAGTWAACGGTCGCGATGTGGTCGTCGATGGGAGGGCATACATTGGGACAAATAGGGACATCAGTTTTTTGGATGATTCYTGGACGGCCGGTGGACGAGTGGTTATCATGGGGGATGGAGTCGTTGACATTGCCGTCGTAGTAGTAGTGTCGTCTTTGATTTTGAGYGGTGGTGATGTTGAAGGTGGCTGTGAAATGGCTCCGACCGCTATGACGAGGGGACGCAGAACGGCTAATAAATGATGCAGCGCACTCGGACCGTCCCGAAACTCGTTGGATGAAATGATAGTTCGCAGGAGATCGGCCAACGTGGTGGCATAAGCTTTTGCTTGCTGTGTAGTGAACCGAATCTGCAGCGGATGAGTTGGGTGGCTAGCTTGTCTGGGTGAGCTGGTCATTGAGAACCGTGGTGTTTTTGTTGGAGATACGTGAATGTCAGAGCACTGCTATAAAAATGAACGGATTATTAGTCATTACACATATTTAAGGCTCAGAATTAGTTACACCAATAAATCTTGAAATATGAACTACCTACAAAAAATATAACATTAAAAATACAAATATATTATTTAGGAATATTTTTTATAATATAATATATTTTATAATAAAATATAATAGTATGAACAAATTCTATGAAGTCTATTTTTTTTCAATTTCCAATGATACAGTTGTTTGAGATTAAAAACACTGATTACCAACATTATTGAAAATAAATAAATTAATCTATGCAAGTGTAAGATTAAATTTTTGATATTTCAATTATGAAACTCTAAAGTGTTAAATTATTCTCTAAAGTATTACAAGTTTTGGGGCTATATTGGATAAATAAAATATCGAAAATTGACTCAAATAGATACAGGTATAGATAAAATTATTCTGTTAAATTTATTTAATAAGTGTTCATACAATAATGTCACTCAGTAACTTATATTATTTGAAATGCGAAACTAAGTTACAGTGTTTCACCAAAATTCACATTTGTAATCACTAATAATTAGTGTGTTATTAATGACAAATAGGTTTGTCATTATTTTTATTTTGAGACGAGTTATAAATATTTTTAAATCTTAAAACTTACTTACAGCCAGTTAAAAAGAGTACGAGTATAAAAACCTATGAAGTGAATAATAAATCAATTTACTGTAATATTGAAACTAGCAACACAAAATTAATTCAGCTGAACAAAAATTAGCTATTATGTTTACGTATATTATTATTCAGAGACAACGCAATAATATGTGTGCAGTTNGCGCAATCTATGATTTGACTAGCGAAACTCTACACATTTAAAATACATTCAATGTTTTTTGAATAAATTATAGGATATCAAGTGATTTTGTTAGTACCTATACCGGTTTAAAATTATTGATTGTTTTTAAAAATATTTAAATATAAATTTAGCTTTTATAATTTATTCTTATTGTTAATATAAAATAATGGTGAAAAATATTTCTTTATTGATTGCGACTAAAATGTAGACTAAAAACGCATAGGTACTAATTATACAACGAAATATTCAATTTATTTTTATTATATCAAAGAAATTAATTCTCTGCAGCATAAACTATTTTTGATATTTACAGAAGTATATGCGTGTGGGATTTAAGAGAATCCAAACTGCATCATCAGCAAGTCAACGGCCTCCCTTGTCCACTTCCACTTCCACTTCCACTTCCACTTCCACTTCCACTTCCACTTCCACCTTGCCCACTTCCAGCCTTACCACCTTGTCCACTTCCACTTCCACCTTGTCCACTTCCACTTCCACTTCCAGCCTTCCCGACTTGCCCGCTTCCACTTCCACCATGCCCACTCCCACTTCCACCTTGCCCACTTCCAGCCTTACCACCTTGTTCACTTCCACTTCCACCACTCCCACTTCCACTTCCACCTTGCCCACTTCCAGCCTTACCACCTTGTCCACTTCCACTTCCACCCCCAACTCTGGTACCAGTGCCAATAACACCTYTACCTTGTTTCTCAATTCCACCATTATGTCCACCGTTACCACCACTTCCTGGCTACTGTTAATAAGGACTGGCTTAAGAAAAAAGTTGATTGACGTCAGTCTGTACTGTTCTATATGGACATTCAAAATCATTMTAATTAATCAAAACTGCATAATTCACACAAAAAATGTAATATTTCAAAAATAATTTTATATCTACTTGTCACAATAAATGTTTCATCTCATATATTTTATCTTTTTTATGATTTTAATACCCTAACCTTATCATAAATGTTTCATATTGAATTGATACATTTTTAGTAATCCTAGTCTATTCATAAGTATAATGAAAAAATCGTGCTTAATTATTAGACTGGTTATTAATTGTCAGGTACTCATGTCCATAGATCTTATTTATAATATGTTAAGGGATCCGTGGTTATGTAGTACTGAAGCAAGAAATAAATCTCTTTGTATTGTATCTATTGAGAAAATCTGTGTTTATTATGTATACGAGTATATAATTACAAAAAGGTATGAATCATATAATTTTTTTTTAAATTTTTGTAACTAACAAAATTGAAAAGTAAGTAATAACAAATAAGGAGTCCCCCATTCAATTTAAGTTGTATCTAGGGTCCACGACTCGATRTTAATTTCGAACCACTGTAATTATACTACGTATTACGGTCTAGGACAAATGGGCGCCCCCAACTGGGCACGACCAACTCGGCGCTGCCAACTAGGCGTAGGGACAATTAGGCGCGAGTTGAGTGGACGCAAGACAAATGGGCGCGAAAATTTAATGAAAATTCACTATACTACCTATCTACAGTATTACTAAAATAGTTACAAAAATTTTAATTTTTTAAAATCAAAAATARTTTACAAKTAGGTTTTTCATATATTCCTGAGTATAGTGGCCACTCCACTATATCTCGCTGTATTCCGGAGATGTGCATGTAGGGGGCAATAATTATTAGATAAAATACTATTATATCTATAATAATATAGGATGTCTCTGTATCGATTTATAAACGGATATTTAGAGTCATATCTGCTCGAACGACGTCGTTTGTACATTGTATCGGCTTATC